TCTTCTTGTTTCTTTTTTTCCTACAAAAACTGCTGTAATCTCTCTTGTTTATTTTGATGTTCGAGCTGCCACTGTTGCAGGTTTTCTTGCCACTGCTGTAATCTCTCTTCTTGTTTATTTTCTCGTTCTTCTTGTTTCTTTTTTTCCTACAAAAACTGCTGTAATCTCTCTTGTTTATTTTGATGTTCGAGCTGCCACTGTTGCAGGTTTTCTTGCCACTGCTGTAATCTCTCTTCTTGTTTATTTTCTCGTTCTTCTTGTTTCTTTTGCTGGTCTTGTATTGCTGCCATCAAGTCTGCTAAGCTGTAGTTTGATTTGCTGCTTTTCGTTTCCATTTTTTCTTGTCCTACTCTCTGACACCAATTTGTTATGTCTCTGGTCGTTAGTTAATTTTCCGTAAAAATTCTTTCCGAAGAAACTTTAGCGATACAAGTCTCCTTTCTTTAATAAAACTGGTTTATTATTTCTGAATACAACTTTGCAATACACTTAATTTCCACAGTCGCGCTATAACAAACGGTATAATTCACAACGAACGTCTCACGTGCTCGACTCAACTGTCCGTATTTATCTCTGTCTGCAGTTCAATTACACATTACATTACATTGTTGCCATCAGTTCTTACCGGTCTTATATATATATACAAGAATATCGCATATCTAGTAATCTCTCGAGACTTCAGGAAGGAACACGAACGTTCTAGAATCGCATGACGTGTTACTATAGTCACGTGACCTCCGCTGTCGTAACATAACTTTTAGGCCTAAGAAACTTTATAAATGACGCTGAAATTGGAATACTTCACTAAGGGTATTAAGACTAATTTAAAAATAAATTTTCTTGTACATTTTTATGACTGGTGACATTTTCATAGAAATATTTATAAATTGATATACTAAAATATAACCCATATGACTAACACATTTTAAAGAAATATAATACTTAAAGGAATTAGCATATCCATAATAATATAACAGTACTGTCTGTTGTATGTCCATGTAATTACTTCGCAGGGTGTGGATGAATATTCACCAAAATTGGTTATGAAGGTTCATTATGTCCAAGCGGGGTACTTACAAATTTCAGTTTTGCGTTACGCGATTTTTATGGGCGTTTTTTGCCACTACTTCACTCCCTGTTGATGGACCTTTACCAAATTTGATTCTTTTGATAATATCTCAAAGTCATTTTAGAGTGCTTATTAATTAGCGTTTTTTAAAGTGATGTTCAGTATTTTTAAAGCGATGTTTGGTACTGTATTCAGTAAAATTGGAAAATGTCAAGAAATTTTCATAACTGTGGCCCAGGACCTTATTTTTAAAGAATTTTAACCTAGAATTTTGTCGATAACACAGTAAGATTGTTTAAATCAACGTACTTTTGTCTAAAACTGTCTAATTTTCCTGTCTATTTAAATTTTCCAACCTAAAAGAAAGATTTGACCGATCTTTCATTACTCATGAATTTACATAACTTCCGTTCCCTGTACTCCAGCTCTCAGCTTACTTCGCTCCCTGTGGATGGATCTTCACCAAAGGTGTTATGGAGGTTCAATGGGTCCATGGGAAGATACATAGAGATGTTCAGTTTTACTATTTTATGGGCGTTTTTTACCACTAGTTCGCTCCCTGTTAATGACTCTTCACCAAATTTGGCATGAAGAATTGTTGGGTCCATGGAAAATATACACTAATTTGTAGTTTTGCGGTTTTTATGGTTTCTTCTTTTCTTTTTTTTCGTTTTTTACAATTATATATAAGGGTAGCAACTTTTTCATGTCCTGAGATAACCTCTCTTCATTAATCAGGAATTTATATAACACCCATCCAGGGGACGGGTACTCGAGCTAGTTTTAAATAAATGAAATATATCATACTACAAAGTAAATTTGACAATTAGAAACTATAGTAAAAATTCTTGACATACTAAAGTTAATTTGTTTTTCAGTAATGCTTTGAAATAAAAATGTTTAGTTGCAGTCTATAAGATGGCAGCACCATCAACAATAAGGTCACTAGAGGGCGCTCAGTATAAGACCTGTGTAAGTTGGAAGCGTTCTTGCAATAGATGACTGGAGATTAATTAGTTAACTAGTGGTGCTGGACGATGCTAGATAGTTTGTAGTATGAATTAAGTTTTGAGGAGATCATAATTTTATTAGTTTATAAGAAGCAAAATTGAAATTGATCTTGTTAATTAATGATCCAAGTGTTTAAAAAGTTACAATATATATATATTTGTGCAAGGTAAGATTAATTTTATACATATAATAAATATAATTCGAATCGCAGATAATAGAAGCTTAAAGTTCAAAATTTCTGATCTAGTTACGTGCGGAGTAGCGGAACTCGTGGTCTTTACTTATTCAGTGATTGCAACGTTTTTCTCCCTATGGATTACGCGTTTAAGCGAACTGAAAGGTAACGATAGCTGCTTAGTTTCTGTGCTAACTTCTGACTGCCTGTTTTTTGGAGACAGACTAAAGTTTTGAGGTCAAAATTTCTTGGCAAAATCTGCTGCTAGTGTTACGGTACGTGGTGTTAGAATTTAGAGACATTTACGAAATAATTTTTCAGAGACAGTCTTTAACACTTTTTGTTTGTTTTGTACTGACGACAGTTTGATCGAGAACGTAGTGTTAGATAACTGTTTTTAAACACTATGGAGGCTTTCATTTTGCTGTTGATGTTTGTGTACTGAAAATACGTCGAACCAGCACGTTGTTAGTCGTCGGGATCGTTGTGTTTCAGACTATGTTGGGAAATGGACTGGATGTCGGTTCTACTCACCTTAATGCTTATTCTCCGTTTCGAGAAAGTAGCTGGACAGTACTATAATGGTAAGTTTTTTTTTAATTCAAAGATACCCCCCAAATCTTACTGTATAACAGATTAAATTTAGTTAGAGTTAGACATTTTGAAAGATACATCCTGTGAAAAGACGTTTGCGAAGTAATTTGAGTTTTTACATTAAACATTCCCATTAGCTTAATATTCTGTTAATTCCAGAGTACAATTCATCATAATTCATGATTCTTAATTTCAAAATGCTGTGTACGTTTCATTTAGACTAAGTTAAGAGTTAGATTAGCCTCAATAATGAAGTTATTTACTCATAGGGATCGTTTCTCATTTCCTCTAAAACTAATTACTTGTTTTTAAATCTTACTCTTAATACGAGTGTTTTATTTAGGTAAGCGAGAATAGCCATAATTTGATAATACAATGTATAAACCTTTATTTAATGTCTATGCCGTTAAATATTAATTCGTTATATAGTAACTCAATTTTTTCGCTAATTAAAGTTTCATTATCGGCGTGATATAATGACTAAATTATTACACATTTTAAATATACACACATCTATATTCATTGTTATGACTTCTTCCGCAGCTTTATGAAACTATAAATAATACGTTGAAACTTTGTAGAATGGACGGCAACTGCCTGTTGTAGAAGCACAAGTGTAGAGGACGACGTTTCGAAACTTGTGTCTCTACAACACTTTCGTCATGAATACTCTGCCTGACAATCTATCAAAGAATATAAATAATACGATTTACTGCAGCTTGTGTGGCACTGATATAAAATCTGTGGGCAGGTTAACCAATATACATATGTGATGGATTGGTATTCATAACGTATTGGAAATTATATGATTTATTTCAAAACATGAAAAACGTAAAATCTCTGGTCAAGTTAACCAGTATACAAGTGCAATAGACTTGTGTTTCTGACTTAATAAATATATGATTTTATTCAGAAAATATAAAAACGTAACATCTCTGGTCATGTTATCCAGACTACATATATGACGAAACCACACGGCGGCTCGACATTCGGAACATTTCGCCCTTTTCCGTTGTACCTACGAAAAATTCCGCGGAGTTTCGAGTGGGCAGTCCACAAGTCATTCCGTCCAACACATGGTGTTTCATAAAGTATCATTAAAATTTTGCATTAAAAATTAACTGTTCTAAGCCCAGCTAAAAATACGCAGGAAGATAAGTAAGTGTTATAAATATGATAATAGGTAAGTGTATATTTTACATACATGTCGGTAGATATGTTTCTCGTATGTATTTGTATATCAGGCTTACGATGGGTTAGTCTATCGTCAAAAAACAGACTACTTATCTTCCCAGAATTTCAGTGTTAGTAGATATTTAGTCATTTGAGAAAAAAATAAGTAACAGGTAGTACTTCTGAAATCATTCATAGTTAAATATAGAGCTGGATTTTACACCCACCCACACCCCTCATATGAGCAGAACACATTAGTCCTAGGCTAGTAGTAGTATTTGTTGAATTCATAATAGCTTGAACTCGCATTTTGGTATTCTCGGGCGTCGGGATAGTAGATTTTTACATAATTGGTTTGATGTGTGTGTGAATATTAATGCGTTTTAACAATAGACTATGTAACTTGCAATATTTAACTTTTTACTTGCATGTAACTTAGCAATGCTTAACTTTTTGGTCAGCTGTTTTCTTCGAAATAAGTAACAAATTATCATGACATGGCTCGAGTAAACAACATTTAACCACATTTCAGTGTATTTTGATGTTAAAAAATATATTCTTTCATCTGTTTAACGATGAAATGTGCAGAAACTTTTGACCGAAATTTAAAATCTCGTTGAAATTCTGTGTCACATTCATTCATTTAATTTATATTTTTACATGAGACGTCTAACTGTTGGAGAATTCGTCATCTTTCTTCATTAAAGTTTAATGCTTGTTATCCGTTATAATCATTCAAGATTATTAAGCATTGTGGGATTTGTATTAAAGAACGAATTGAAGAGTGGAGTTTTTAATCAAAACACGCGCATATTTTTATATCTCCTTTTGGCCTAGGATGGCTTGACTCGCAATCTGAGGGTCACGGGTTCGAATCCCCGTCACACCAAACATGCTCGCCCCTTCAGGCGTGGGGGCGTTATTATGTGACGGTCAAATCCCACTATTCGTCGGTAAAAGAGTAGCCCAAGAGTTAGCGGTGGATGGTGATGACTAGCTGCCTTCCCTCTAGTCTTACACTGCTAAATTACGGACGGCTGGCGCAGATAGCCCTCGTGTAGTTTTGCGCGAAATTCAAAACAAACATTTCTCCTTTTTTTTCAGATATCGAATATTTTCTTAAACATAGCATAACATAATTTATACTCAAAGGACCATTTGGTTCTAACACACTCACTCTTGGGAAAAGTAGAAATTTAAACTCACTCTTAATTTTATCAGAAAATCATCGAATCCTTTCTTAAACTCCTGTAAAGTACTGACCTCCATTACTGCAGACGGAAAATCATTCCATAAATCGTCCATTCTGTTAGAAAAATAAAACCATCTTAAATGGAACCAATCTATCTTTTCCAAATATTGAACTTGTGTCTTCTCGCCCTATGTTATCTTAAGAATAAAGCACAAAGAAATCAGAGACATTTATTGAACCAATTCCACAGATATTTTGTAAACTTCAGTAACATCAACTCTTACCCTTCTTTCCTCAAGAGAAGATAATAGATGTTAACCTACCCCTGCAAGTTAACCCTCCCATCGCTGGAATCACTGTTAACATTCTTCTGAATCCTTTCTAATATTAATAACAATATTTTGCTTTCTGTCAATCAAATTGTCTTATCTTTCCCTAACTCCTACCCATGTTATTTTCTTAGTAATATTTCGTGTGGCACCTTGTCAAAAGCTTTTGATAACCTAAATATAATAAGTCCACGCCCTTTTCTCAACTAGATAACAAGGCCTTAAATTGTTTTATTTTGCATTGAACAAATGTACAAAATATATAACAAATGTATGTACAGAAGTATTGTGGTTAACTAGAAAATGGCCATTACAGCATTCTTGTGCCCTATCTTAGTCCCTGTGTTGATGAAGGCTTTTCGGGTTGGTTTACGTGTCGTATTTGGACTTGTGGGCTTTGGAGTCAAATTATTTAGCTCCTCTAGTTTATTATGCCACACTCTTGTACCAAGGGTTAAAATGTCTTTTAATGAAGATAGAAAGACATGATACTGGCGCAACAATTACAGCGTGGTCGTACTATCATGAAATGCACGTGCATGTTTGTACCACTCGGTTATGCTTGGAAAAGCGTGACGACTGGTATGATAACAATAGGGTCAGTAATTATAAGAATCTTCCTTCTTGGTTGTAATTGTCTATCTTAAAATAAAATATAGTTCGTAGTTTCGTTCAGATGAGGCCATTTTATTGCCCAAGAACTTCCTGTTAAATTATTCAGATGTGGACGTGAAATATACCTTATTTGCATGACAGAAATGGTAAAAAAACAAAACAAAAAACATCACATTTATGGAATATGCGCGTCTGTTCATATAAAACTGTTACGTCATTAAAGTATGAAATATATTGGCATATTCAGCATTTTTTCTTTTCGATAAGTGTTTCAGATATTTAGCCACTAGGGAAAAATAATCGTTATCAAATGAAGCTGTTTAACCTTCCATGCATTTTTACCCTTCGATTCTCTCGTCAAACCTGTAGCAGTGCTAATAATTATGAAAAGGATACGGAATATCAGTTCAAAAGTGTTAACAGTGAATAATTGAGCATTCCTGGGTCATCGCATTTTAATGTTGTTGTAGTAGTTTGTAGCTTATCTAAGTTGTTCAACCCACTAACCCAAAGAGATTGGGGGAGGGAAGGGATCGTCTCATATTTATATATATTATGATTATGCTGGTTACGTAATCAACTGATTACAAAGAATGGTAAGAATAAATATTTAGCCCAAATCTTAAAAAAATCAGTGTTTAGTGAAGTTAAAAGTTTTTTTTTCAAAATGCTTATTTTTAAATTCGTTTACACGAGTGTATTTACGAGTAATTTTTTAAAGTAATATTAACTAAAAGTACTACAGAAATACCCGCCCTCCGGGCATGTATAACTTCTAGTTCCTGCTGCCTTTTCTGGAATTGTCTGACAGTTCTACAACAATGTACTCATATTTGATATTCAGTAATGTTCACCACCCATGAGAAAAAGGATTTTATTGAGATTTTAGTTTAAAAATGAGCTATCACCACAGCATTACGTCACAGAGTAGATTTTATTGAAGTATTCCTTTGTAGACGCGGTTATCAATGAAAGTGCCTTGGTTTTCTGTTGCAACACTCAAGAAAAACAAATATTTTTTAAGTTTGTTTTTTAATTGTTTTATATTTGAATCTTACTTCTTTTTTTTGTAATTTTTATTGGTTAAATCTGAAATATATATAATTTTTGTGGAAATTTCAATTGCTTTATTTATTGCTCAGCTATAAAAATACTGCCTAGTTATAAAAATATTACCGAGTTAGGAATGGTGATGATCGGTGCGGCAGTTCCTAGATCCGAGTTTTGGACGTATACATAGCAAGCTCCATTATAATAAGATGACGTCACCTGATGCACAAATCAGGAGTAACGTGTAATTTAGACCGTAATTCAGATTTACATGAGAGGCAAAGACCCAGTCTGGAGCACAAAGTTGTAAAAACAAGCGTTCTTTGTGGTATTAATGTCAAAGCACATCTAAGGGCAGAGTAGGCCTTTAGCATAAGATGAAGAGTCAAGCGCGAAACTACAAAATGGGCAACACGTGCTATGTCCCCCACGGGTATCAAAAACCGGTTTTTAGCGTTTTAAGCCTTCAGACTTACCGCTGAGCCACTGGGGTCGGGTCATGAAGTAGCCATCTCACGTAATATTTTCTTAATTAATTAATAGAAACAATTCAGTTAGGAAACGGATAATGTATTAAATACATTTTTTTTTTTATAATGGTGGAGATTTTTTTCTTACTGTGATAAAAACG